CTAGATCTCAACCGCTGGTTCAACCGCTCCCGCTGAGTTTTTTTCTCCAAAGTATATATCATTCTATCAGAAGTAATTTTTTAAAAAGGAAAAAGTATAATCATTTATATAAGATATTAATTTTTTCTGTTTAAGGCAGTTGATCGAAGACCAGAAGATCAGATTCAGGCATATTGCTCAGATAGCGGCGACAAGGGTAGAAAACATAAGGTATTAAATGGGTTGTAGACTAGGGTAGAAAACACAAGGTATTAAATGGGTTGTAGACAAGGGTAGAAAACACAAGGTATTAAATGGGTTGTTAAATTATAAATTAGAAATTAGAAATTAGAAACAGTAAACTTTAAAAAAATCCCACATGTTGAAGTTTTACTAAATTTATATTATGTACTTATGTATTATGAACCATGAGTTTTATACCGAGAAATTCTTTTGTACGCGAATTTGCAAAAGTGAAATTGTACGCCTTTGTAACGCAATTTCGCGTAATGCAACGCAAGCGCCGGAGTACATTTCTAGATTTAGACGTAATTCCAGTGGTTTAATTCTATTTTCAATTTTAGAAATACAATTCTGAAATGGGGGTTCTTCGTGGATATGAAGAAAGAGGCGGACTCGCTAATTGGTGATTATTCTAATATTAGGCTTTTTTAAGTAAAGAAAACTCAAATTTTCTAATCCATATAGCTTTACAACCTGATGGCGAAAACCTTTGATATTTAAAACTTAGATTAGTCTTATAATTTTCTTTAGCTTGTAGATGTTTACAAAGTCGACATTTTTTGTTGGTGTATTCTTATAAAAAATTTTTTTATTTCGCGGATTTTTTTGTTGTTAACATACTCGCATAGTCCACAAAAGAAATCCGCTAAACATTTTCTATCAGGGTGCTTAGATGGAGTTACCAAAAGGTCTTATCTCTTAAACTACTTTTTAAAATCATTTTAACTTTGGAAAAATTGATAAAAATTTTTTTTGTCATTTGAACTACAATCGTCATTTCGTTTACTTTGAAAAAAACATTTTTCCTTCTTTTATAAACCCCATTTCACTTTTATAAACCCCATTTCACTTTTAGATAATGTAAAAGAATTGTTCCCAGAAATACAAGAATCATCAGCAAAAGGTAAAAGAAAATATTACAAACATTTTTTTTTTAATTCGAATGATTTAGATTTAGATGAGAGCGAATATGAAGAAGGACTACCCCTGGTTCTTAATAAATTTATAAGGAATAATTTTTAGTTATTTTTTAAATTTTACACCATGCATCAGTTTGCAAGATATATGAATTAAAAAATTTTTAGTTTCTGGTAAAGACTAAATACCTTTAATAATTTGAGATAAGAAATTAAACCACTTCTCTTGATTTAGATTAGACTTGCAAGATAAGTGGTTAAAAGCTCGGCATTACTTGAAACTCTCTAATCATTAAATGTGGTCTAGCTGTTCTTTTTTTGGTTTGTGAGGGGGGGGGNTGATTGGAACATTTAAAGGTAAGATATTGATTGATCAAGTTGACCTGGAGAAAGCTCAGGACGAAGACAGCGCCTTGCTCCTAGTCAAATCTTGGTTCAACTCAAATACAGGTAAGATTGATGAAAAAAAGATTGACACGTCGAATTTCGAAGATGTACATGATGATGTACAAAAAATGAAAAATTATACATTTTTGAAAAGCCCTTGACCATGCCATTTCAAATATGCAAAAAAATTTGCAAAACTTTAAATAACCTGGTTTTAATCAAGAAAAACTAAAAAAGTGCAAATTTCCTTTGACAGCTTGTTTGCAAAAAAAACTGCAATTTTTTTCCGCAAAACTTGTGCAATTCGTTTCCTTATGTCAAAGGCTTTCCAGAAAGCTAAATTTTATCAAAATCTGACAAGTGGAAGTGGGTCAAAACTAAGATTTAGTTTGTTACAGAAAAAAAGCAGTCATTCATGCAGTGTGCCTGAGGACTCAGGCAGTTAGTGTTAAAGCCCGGTTCTAGGCCTAAAGGGAGGGCTTTGGGTATGTGGGAAAAGTCAGAAAATTTCAACAGCCTCAGACCAATACTTTTTGAGTTACGTAAAAAAACTACAGGGGTAGCAGGAATAGGGTTAAACGATTTAAAGTACTTTAGAATATTAAGGTAAACATTTTATTTTATTATTTCTAATTCAATATAAATTTTCTTTGTATTTAAATTAAATTATTAGAAGTTTGGAAGCTATATCTAGAATGCCAGTTAAACCTCAAAATATTCAAGTAAGTTTTCTTTATTAAAGGGACTGGGTAAGTGTAGATTATTAAAGGGACTGTGTAAGTTTTTCTTTATTAAAGGGACTGTGTAAGTGTAGATTATTAAAGGGACTGTGTAAGTTTAGATTATTAAAGGGACTGTGTAAGTTTAGATTATTAAAGGGACTGTGTAAGTTTATATTATTAAAGGGACTGTGTAAGTTTATATTATTAAAGGGACTGAATAAGTTTAGATTATTAAAGGGGCTGTGTAAGTTTAGATTATTAAAGGGACTGTGTAAGTGTAGATTATTAAAGGGACTGAGTAAGTTTATATCAAACCTGGACAAATTTCTTAATTGTTGATGGAAAAAATGATGCGTGAATTGAAGACGACTTTTAAACCTTTTCCTCCGATGTTTTATGTATATGTACATATAGACCCATAAAACTGTAGAGTAGGAATTCACATTTTATTAATTTGTGTTTTTAATGATGTTTGAAACCTAAGAGTTTTATGAGTAGCTTGAAACAGAACTAATTTAATAAAATGGTACTGGGTACAATGTAAATTGCACAATATGTCGCGTTCATTAGACTACTAATTTAATAAAATGGTACTGCGTATAAAGTAAATTGCAATTGCAGTTTTCATTAGACTTTTTAAAAAAAAACTTGAAGGGGATTCGAGGATTCGAGGATTCGAGGATGGTAATGGCCAATTACCAACGGTATCCTTGAAACCTTTGCCAGATCATTGTTGTCTGACTTATTCTCATTTATCCACAAAAACGCTAATTGTTGAAGACTATTGTTGGTTGCAAAGATTTATAAATCACGAGTTTTAAGGTCTTTAAACTAAATTTGGAGCATGTACACTGCATGTGAAGCTGTTTATATATTTGTCTGAGGTATAAAATGTTTGGTTTGGCCACCGGAGAAAATTTTGGTCAAAGACGACCTTGCAACTGAGTAAGATCATTTGTTGTTGGTTAACAACTTTTTTGTAAGCTGTTTGAGTTTAATAAATATCAACATTCACTTTCTAAAACTGACAGAAATGTTATAGTATTTTGGAAGCCGTTTTTAATGTAAAATATTCGGTAATGTTTCACAAGAAGCTCATTAGCCGTATTAAAACTGTGCATACATCTTACACCGCGGTTTAGAGGGATTCCAGTGATTTTCAAAATATTTAAACAAAAAGCTCTCTTACTCGATGAATAGTCAACGGGTACTTTTGTAAATCGGGCATTTCCCTCTTAGCATGACGGGTCACTTGAAATTACGCTTACAGTCAGGGGGTGGAAACGTCATGGGGGTGTGTCTGTACCAAAAGAGTGTGTGTCAGTTTAAAGTACCGAAGGTGTGTACTGTAGGTTTATACAGTACGTAAGAATCTCGGTATTTGTACAGCCTAGGAGAGTACATTTGTTTATTGTTAATTGTTTACTTAGAAATAAGTTTAATATACATGCAATATATTATTTACATATTTATGTCAACACTGTAAAGCCAAATTTTAATGCAAAGAATATAATTTGATTAAAGTTTACAATAAACTACTCATTATTCAAGTTTAATTATAATCGACGACATTGTTCTACAATTTCCTTGACTGTAGTCATGGTGTGTGTCTGTACCAGAAGAGTGTTTGTAAGTTTACTGTACTGGTCTGCAAAGCAGTGCGACTGGCTTTCTCTTGCCGGACCAGCGCCATTTCCTTTCCCTATATTCCTGTTCCCTGCTTACAGTCCCTTCAAGGTTGATAGTGTCTTCCTTTTCCCGGTTGTCAGGGTTCCACTCAGGGGGAGGATAGTTCTCTACCTGTGTACTCAGTTAGCTGTACTGTACACTTACAACTGTTTACTATAATATTGATACACTATAGGTTAGACCAGAATCAACATAAATAGTAAACACATATGCAGTACGCTCTCTGTATAGTTAATGGCCTATGCAATTAGTAAAGGATTAGCGTACATCATCACTTAGTGGAACCTCGTTGGTTCCACTAAAGGATACAAAATAACCTAACTTCTTAATTGTTAAGGAGTGCAGCAATGGTTTAGAGAGTATAGAAAAGCTTAAGCTTGCAAGTAAAGCAGGATTCGGAATATTAGATAAGATTGGAGAATGTACAGAGAAAACACCGGCTCATAAACCGGTTTGGGAACAGGTAACACTTAAATTGGTTTGGGAATACGTACCACAATTAAACTGGTTTGGGATCAGGTAACATTTAAACTGGTTTTGCAACAGGTAACACTTGAATAGGTTTGGAAACATGTAACAATTAAACCGGTTTGGGAATGGGAACACTAAAACCCGGTTTGGAAATAGGTAACTCTTTAAGCAGTTTGGGAACGGCCGTAACCATTAAATTGGTTAGGGAACAGGTAAAAAATTAAACCGTTTTGGGAACAGCTCACTTAAATCAGTTTGAAAACGGATAACATTTAAGCCCGGATTGGGAACCGGTAACAATTAAACCGGTTTAGAAACAGGTAACATTAAACGGGGTTGGAAATAAGTTACATTAAATTCAATTTGGGAACAGGTAACATTTATACTGGTTTAGGAACAGGTAACACTTATATTGGTTTGGGAATAGGTAATAATTAAACCGCTTTGGGAACAGATAACACTTAAATTGGTTTGGGAATACGTAGCACAATTAAACTGGTTTGGGATCAGGTAACATTTGAACTGGTTTTGGACCAGGTAATAATTAAACCGGTTTGGGAATGGGGAACACTAAAACCCGGTTTGGGAATAGGTAACTCTTTAACCGGTTTGGGTATCGGCCGTAACCATTAAACTGGTTAGGGAACAGGTAAAAAATTAAACTGTTTTGGGAACAGCTTACTTAAACCAGTTTATAAACGGATAACATTTAAGCCCGGTTGGGAACCAGTAACAATTAAACCAGTTTAGAAGCAGGTAACAATTAAACGGGGTTGGAAACCAGTTACATTTAAACTAATTTGGGAACAGGTAACATTTAAACTGGTTTAGAAACAGGTAACACTTATATCGGTTTGGGAATAGGTAACAATTAAACCGGTTTGGGAACAGGTAAAAACTAAACCCGTTTGGGAACAGGTAGCACTGGAATCGGTTTGGGAACAAGTAACATTTAAACCAATTTTGGAACAGTAACAATAAAACCGGTTTGGGAACAAGTAAAATTTAAACCAATTTGGGAACAGTTAACATTTAAACCAGTTTTGGAATAGGTAACATTTAAATCAGTTTGGGACAGGTTATATTTAAACAATTTGGGAACAGGTAACAATTAAAACAGGGTTTTCTTCAGTAAACATTTTAGATTTTTTTATGATGGTAGTTTTTACATTCAATTTAATTTATATCTGAACAAAATTAGTATTTTATCTCTCTCAATTTAGAAGTTACTAAATGGCAAACCAAACTTTTGAAATATGAATAAAAGTTGCGGATACAAGACGTCACATATACACACATGAAACTGTGGAAGAGGAAGACGACTTTTGGACAAAAATTAAACGTTAAATAAAGAAATTGTGAAGTGTACACACCCATTTACTTAATAAATTAATTTTTGAACTACAGGCAAAACTGTTTGCTTTGTAACAACATTAAATTAATACACATAAGATTTCTTAAATGTCGTATTCCTTATACAGTTCCACAGTCAAGTTTTATTGGTTTGTGTGTGTATTTTTGTTGAAATTATTTGTTATTTATTTACAGATTTGTTTGTTGAAAAAAGTAAACACGGCTTTCGAGGACCAATCTCAAAAGCTGATTTCACTTCTGTCAAGATGGAGGAATCTGGAAAAATCGGAGAAAGAAGACGACATTGATTTTCAACCTCTTCTGGGATTCCTTCTAGTTTATTCACAAATATTTGCTGCCTAGAATTAAATATTAATAGCGTTATAAAACCAACTTCAATAAATAATAAAAGAATTGTATACATATAAAAGATATTTTTTTAAATCNAAAAAGGTCTTATAGGTATGGAGTTCCACTTTACACTATATATTTTTGATTTTTTTTTTTAAAATAATGTTTCGTTGTCGCTGGATTTTTGAACATGCCTGGAAAATATGAAAATTTCGTCTTCATTATCAAAAATAATACATGTTTTCAAATGTAACTATCAGATCATAAAAAATAAAAAAATATTATGAACAATTTTCTCCTCATAGACGCTATAGATAGAAGTAAGATTTGTAGCGATCAAAAGCGCTTATTTTACGCCGTAAGTCTATACCCTTTTCATCTTTTGCGAACACTCCCTATAAGGGTTACGAGTATATTCAACTTCAATATTAGCTTACACAGTAACTTCCTAGTTCTTCAGTAGCTGACCTTCTCGTTTCAGAGTTTATACCCCTCACTCTAAATTCAACTTAGCTGTCCAATGTCCCTTGTTCAAATTGTAGTGTGGGGGGGGGGGATTCACCTCTATAGATTTTATTATAGAAATGATTAAAAATTGGCTCAGAATTGTAAAACTTGTTTTTGAATTTAAGAAGATAAGAATGTCTTTAAAAAAAAGTATACTATATATAGTGCTATTTGTGAATAACTAAGGTTGGGGAAGTGGAGGGGTCCAGTGGAGGGGGGGGGGGGCTGAAAGGTAACCCAAGTTTGTTTTTCCCATGGCAATCTTTGTTATTGTTTAGATAAAACTAGTCTCTACTCTCTAAAAGCAAAATGTGTTCAACACCCCTCCTCCCTCCCACCTTAATTCTACAAATATTGGACAAGTACATTGGACGCAGTCATGCGTTATTAACTTATTTTCACCCTTGACCTTCATTATTTAATGAAAATATACATCACTCTAATGTATGAAAACAATCAATGTAAATAATTGACTTTTATTACCTACACTACAGGATCCCCATAAAAAATATGGCTCTGTTGAGACGATTTTTCAAATCACTTATTTTAGAAGTAAAATATTATATGTTTACGTTTGAATGTCAGATTTTAAGATTATAAATTATTCTTTTATTATTTAAATGTCTGCAATACAAACATTTAAATTTACTATAAATACAGATGATTGAAATATTTTAAACACTAAACAAACAGTAATTTTATCTATTATTCAGGGAACTAAGTTACGCCTGGATGGCAATGCATAATCTTGATAAATACAATGAAATTACTTCCTAATAGACAGAAAATTTCAATTTAAATTTTTAAAAATCAGGACAGTTGGTTGGTACTCCTATTATCAAAAGAAGTAAAAACATCAAAATAAATATTTATGTGCACGGTGCCCCCCCACCAATTCTTCCAGTGCGCACCCCCTCCCCCAGTGCGTAAATGTTGTCTAACGCGCGTATTAAAAATGACCTTGAGCACACTAGCAACAGATACAGTTTACAATATTGATATTCTGAGTATAAATATTCCGATACTGTGGTATTCAGAAAAAGGGTAATTATTGTCTTCGTCTTTTATGAAAGAAGAAAGACGACAATCATTTTACATTGTTTTGGTTATTGTAATCCATATTTGTATTTGGATTGAGCTAACCTTTTTGAAAATTAGATGGTTTAATTGTTTTATCTGTCGGAAACTATAAAAGTATTTTGAAATATTTTTTAAATGTTGGTTTAGAATTCTAGATAATTCCGAGCTGAGAGTCTTAAAAAAGTGGTTCCAAGTGCACATAATATCCAAATTTAATAACAGACTGTTCAGGGCCCTGAAATTATCTAGTTATTTTTATTGTCGAGACCTCTTTCTATTACAAATTATGGATAATAGTGGGTCCAGGGTCCTACTTTTATAAAATAGTAGTACTAGCAGATCCAGGGCCCCCCTGTAATAAATATCTTGTAATTGCATAAAAATGTAACATTATTAAACATGGATTGTGATTAGATTAAATACATTTATATCTATCCATGTTAATCTTCTAAATATGTACATTCAACTTAAACTACGCTGTAGACATGTATGGAGATAGCTTAACTGCTTTACATCTATCCTCACTAATCTTATAAAATGTACATTAAACTTAAACTATGCTGTATATTTATATCGACATGTAACTTGTCATTACGTCAATTCACATTAACTTGAAACATAAGATATCTAAAATAAATTAGTTAATATAGAGACTCCACTTTAATTACAATGTTGAGAGTAATTTAGTCCTTGTTAAAACATATGAGCTGAGATCGTGCCTTGAGATTTGGCATTAATTGATTAAGAGCTTGATTGATGGCTACGCTTGTGTCCCTGTGTGACATTCAGAGCTGATAGTCCTGGTTGAAACATACAAGCTGAGATTGTGTCTAGAGATTAGGCATCAATAGATTAAGAGCTTGTTTGATTAGCTATGCTTGTGTTCTTGTGTGACATTTAGAGCTGATAAGATTGTGTCCTTTGGTTTGACATTGACTGCTGAAGAGTTTGTGTCCTGGATGACATTTATAGCTGACGGGTTGTACCTGGACTGATACAGTTCTGAACGCAGTTTTAAGAGTACGTCATTTACTATACACCTGTTATCTAAGTATTACTAAGAAAGAGTCCAGGATCCTTCCAATATTAAATAGTAATGATAGCAGGTCCAGGGTCCACCTATTATCTAAATATTACTAATAGAGGGTCTAGGGTCCTTTTAATATTGAATATTACTAGTAGAGGGTCCAGGGTGCATATAATATTAAATAATAATAGCAGGTCCCATCTGTTATCTAAATATTACTAATAGAGGGTCCAGGTTTCTTCTTATATTAAATAGTAATATAGAAAGTCCAGGGTTCTACTAGTATTAAACATTAATAATAGCGGGTTCTTGGTTCTACCAATATTTAATAGTATGGTGATAGCAGGTTCTAGGAGGTGGGGAGTGCACACTAAAACAATTTGTATTCAAACCACAAAATCCAGCTTCCCAAAACTACAAATGCAGTAATCATCAAATGCTACATAGTTTAAATGATTGTTTATGATTCATTGTGCTACAAGGTGTCCCAATAAACATGGATATTGAGATACCACTTGAATATTGTCTTTGATTTTTGATAATTAATAAATGACATAAAGTGCATCAAAAAGGATTGAATTTCTTTTAAGCTTTCCAATATGTGGTCTACCTTCTTTGGATCTTTAAAATTGACGGAGATATTAAAGATTTGAACAGTTTTGTTGATTTTTAATTAACTGAAATCTAAACAAATTTCCTTTTATCTCCATCAATTTTGAATGTAAAAAATGGTAGACCACATTTTGGAAAAAGACTAAAAGTTTTAGATGTTAAATGTTTTAACTGTGATGATACAAAAACACATTTAAAAAATAATCTGCTTGGAACAAAGACAATATAAAGGTTGTGTGGTATAATTTCAAATTGTTATTGTATGTGCTCCCCCCCCCCTTGTCCTGGGAGGGATATTATCTAAATTAAGTGGTTTTTGTGATATGATTACAAATAGTTGTTCTGTATGATCCCCCTCTCGTCCTGGGAGGGATATTATCTAAATTAGGTGGTTTGTGTGATATGATTACAATTTGTTGCTGTTAGGGTTTCCACAAAATGGCTGAATCTTTTGCGCAAAATTTGCGTTTTTTTCGTGCAATTTTTTTTTGGCGAACTTTTGCACTTATTTTGCGCTATTTTTGTGCATGAAACGCAATGAGTTTTGGGCGGTTTTGTGCTATTTTTTTGCACAATTAAGTTTAAATTAAGGGACCAAAATTAATAAAATAGAAATCAGAGTGTGAAACTTGGCAATATTTTAATCCTATTAAATAATTTCAAGTGACCCTTAAAGACTTCTGTATGTATAAAATGCCTTATTTTTCACATTAGCTTTATGTAAGGTAAATAGAAGGTAGTAAAAGTAGTAATAATTTAAATTTTAAAAATAAAGATGTGTATTGATTTGTCAACATTTATTCAATAATTTATTTTTCAATTCCCCACTACCCTCACTACCACCGACAAGTTGAAACTTTTTTTTCAACATTTATTCAATAATTTATTTTTCAATTCCCCACTACCCTTACTACCACCGACGAGTTGAAACTTTTTTATCAACATTTGTTCAAGAATTTTATTTAAATTAAAAACTACCCTCACTTCCACTGATTTTTCAAAATCTTAATTTCAACATTTATTATTTTTTTTCATTTTCAAACTACAGTCACTTCCAAGACAAAAACTTAAGCAAGTCTTAAAGAAAAAAAAGAGGCAATTTAAAGATTTTTAAAGTTGAATTTCTTGCTAAATATATTTTTTTTATCATGATTTTACAAAAAAATCTTATAGTTTTATAAGAAAAGTATCTGCTTACTACCATACATACCTATGTTAATAAAAAATTCACCTATTTTTCAGCAAAAAAAGGCATTTTATACGTTCACTAAAGACTTTGCCTAATCAAGTGTGAATTATATTCTTAAATTTGTTTAATCAAATTTCTGAAATCTTTTTAATCTCATATAAAATAATGCAAGAAAGTCACCAATGCCTGAAGAATCAACTTTTAGGAAATATGCATGTCCAAAACTAAAATTGTCGAGACTTTTAATGGACAATCTGTTTTGGATTTTGGTACAAAACCTTCCAGCACTGGAAGAATTGAATTCTAAGAAACACAAACCGTCACCAATTTTTGATTTTTACGAAATTGCGGAATTGCGTAAAACTCTAGTTGCAGAATTGCACAAAACTTGAGTTTCCCAAAAGCGCAAATTGTTGTTTTTTCGCGCAAAACTGAAGCACAAAGAAAGAAAAATTTTGCGTTTCGTTCCAAAAAAATTGCGCAAAAGTTTTGCGAATGGAAACCCTATCCATCATCATCGTCCTGGGCGGGATATTATCTAAATTAGGTGGTTTGTGTGATATGATTACAAATTGTTGTTGTGTATGCTCCCACCCTCTTCCTGGGCAGGATATTATCTAAATTAGTGGTTTGTGTGATATGATTACAAATTGTTGTCGTGTATGCTCCCCCTCTCGTCCTGGGTGGGATATTATCTAAATTAGGTAATTTGTGTGATATGATTACAAATTGTTGTTGTGTATGCTCCCCCCCCCCTCGTCCTGGGTGGGATATTATCTAAATTAGGTGGTTTGTGTGATATGAATACAAATTGTTGCTATGTATGCTCCTCATCTCGTCCTGGGGCGGGATATTATCTAGATTATGTGGTTTGTGTGATATGATTACAAATTGTTGCTGTGTATACTCACCCCCTTGTCCTGGGCGGGATATTATCTAAATCAGGTGGTTTGTGTGATATGATTACAAATTATTATGGTATGTGCCCCCCCCCTCGTACTGGGCTGGATATTATCTTAGTTAGGTGGTTTGTGTGATATGATTACAAATTGTTGTTGTGTATACTCCCCCCCCCCTCGTCCTGGGTGGGATATTATCTAAATTAGGTGGTTTGTGTGATATGANCCCCCCCCCCCTCGTCCTGTGGGGGATATTATCTAAATTAGATGGTTTGTGTGATATGATTACAAAATGTTGTTGTGTATACTCCCCCCCTCGTCCTGGGCGGGATATTATCTAAATTAGGTGGTTTGTGTGATATGATTACAAATTATTATGGTATGTGCCCACCCCCTCTTGTCCAGGGCGGGATATTATCTAAATTAGGTGGTGTGTGTGATATGATTACAAATTGTTGTTGTGTATGCTCCCCCCCTCGTCCTGGGCGGGATATTATCTAAATTAGGTGGTTTGTGTGATGTGAACTCACACAAGGAAGAGAAGTTGGTTTTATCTCAGTTGGTTAAGGAGTCCCGGACCAACATGTCGAGGTAACCTTTACAGGGTCTAGAAACGTAACTTTAAGTGACCTTTCGTTTATAGAGTTGTCCGATTGACAATGATACCCGGTTAAAACCTTTGTCTGATCATATATGAATTAGATATCCATGTTTATAAATTTGAAAACTGAATATTTTCAATTGTGGTTGATCTATAAAAGTGACTTGCGCAGGAAAACAATGTGGGATTTATCAGAATTAGACACTTCCGCATTATTGATGAGATACAGGTTTAAAGGAACCCCTGCCCAAATTTTAATAAAATCGGGAGGTGGTACGGTGGGACCCATAACTATGTGGAATAAGGAAACATTACAGTTAGACAAACTATATTTTTATTTCATGTTGTTATTAAGCAAATAGTTTTACCATCAGTTTGCAAGAAAATTAAATTATAAAATTAGTTCTGTGTACACTGCGCAATTTCTGTACTTTCGTTCATGTCTTTTGAACTGTTTAAAATCATAAATTGAGTCTAATAGAAAATATTCATATTCTTATAGGATATTCACCTTTCTGACAGAGCATATTATTTCAGGCCAATGTTTAAAGTATAAACAAATCTGAAATTACTTCTAAAAGATATCTCTGATTTATACCATAATTCTGTAATATAACCATTAAAGCTTCGTTGCTTGTAAAAACAGATTTTATCAATATATTTTGCAGAAATAGGTTATCTTTTGGTTAAAATTAATTTAATCTATATAATAAAACAAGACATTCGTATATATGTAAATATATATATATGTTGCCTATAGCCGGCTAAACGGCTTGACCGATTGAACTGAAATTTTGTGTGGACACTCAGGGGTGGCCGGGGGGTGTTCTAGGCTAAAAAAAAATCGAACATTTTTTTAAAAATTTTTTTTTCCCCCGGGCAACGGCGGGCCCTTCAGCTAGTTTAAATTAAACCAAAACAAATAATGTTAATTAGCAAATTTTCAGTTGATTGATTAATTCCTCTGTGTTAAATTCGATATTGACCCTGGCCATTTTTATTAGCTTAAAGTTAATTATCTCTAGAAAGGAATTGAGCCTTTGTCACAAACTCTTATTTTCTAATACCTATATCTTTGCAATCCAATTTCGTAGACGTTAGATATTTCAAACTCTGAATTCTGTTATATCAAGTAGCCTAAGTTTGAATCCACCATTAGGTTGCCAAGATATAATGATTAGAAAATTTGAGTTTGTGGCAAAAACTCAATTCCTTTGACTTTTGACTGTTATCTGATGGACCATGTTGTTTTCCGAAGTCCAATGGTTATTCTTCTGTTTGCCTTGGATTTTTCAAAACATGTTGAGAACCAGAGGCGTCCAAGTACACAGAGGGGGCTATTGCAATGGGGGATGAGCCCCCGCCCCCTACTCTGAATTGGCGAAATCTATGGTTTTTCAGGGCTTTAAAATTCCCCAATGTGAGCTAAGCCCCCACCTGGATAAAAAAAAATTTTTAAGCCCCCTCTTAATTAAACGATTTCTGTGTACGCCTCTGTTCGAAACTTTTCTTCATATTCTAAACTGAGTTTTATGTTTGCTGATAAACCTATTTTCAATAATGTTGATAAATTGTTTCAAGGTTTTAATTTTAATAGGATTTTATTTAAGATCGTTATTAATTGGTGGAGCAGTGTGCCTCTTTACATTAGCATGTGGAGAAGATCTGATGGAACTAGGAGAATTCGGTGAGAGCGTAGATGCAAGGATAAAAAGGTTTCCACAATTTTCACATTTTCCTGGAGGGGATTACTCCCCTGCACCCCCAGCTCCTTACTCACCTCAACCATATGCTCCTCCTAAATCCTACGAACCTACTTCGTACAGTCCTCCCGCTCCAGCTTATCATGAACCTGCTCCATACAATCCTCCCGCTCCAGCTTATCATGAACCCTCTCCGTACAGCCCTCCTAGTCCTGCATATCATGAACCAGCTCCATACAGTCCTCCCGCTCCAGCGTATCATGAACCTGCTCCATACAGTCCTGCCGCTCCAGCTTATCACGCACCTGCTCCATATGATGCCCCCGCTCCAGCACATCATGAACCTGCACCATATCACGCCCCTGTTCCAGCTTATCATGAACCTGCTCCATACCACGCCCCAGCTCCTGGATATCAGGAGCATGAACCCTATCATGATGAGCACCATGGAGTTCCCGGCGTTCCTTGCAAAGACTATCCCTGCTATGCTGAAGCACCATACACAAAGTTTACCTGTGCCAGTGTTCCATTCCAACCCGGGATGTATGCTGACCCAGAATCTGGGTGCCAGGTATTTATTTCTACATTCTATTCTATGTATATGTATATATGCACGCCAGTGTGTAGTACTTTTGTGCATTCTCTACAGTGCGCACTTAAAATGCGATACATGAAGGCCCAAATCCCGGTTTTCATATCCTTCATTAGTTATTGATATAAAAGCTCCATTAATGTTGTCACAGTGTCACTTAAGTATAGGGATGCAGGTATCGCTTTGTATTTTATTTCAGATATTCAAGGGTTTTTTTTACTTAAACTACATCTCGCAGAATTCAAATTTCAAGTTATGACTAATAAGAATCAGTTAAATTTCGCATTTTTAACAATTTGTTGTAGGCCTACCGAGTTTGCAACGATGGTAGGGATGGTCCAGCTGGAGCAGGATTTGTGTGCCCAAATGGAACCTTGTTTGACCAATACCAATTTGCTTGCGAATTCTGGCATAAGGTAAACTTTAAGAAAATAACTTTTTTCTAAACAAAATTTAGAGATAATTTTTTTTACTTAAATATATTTATTCTTGATTTGTTTAGGTTGATTGCAGCAAGGCTGTCTCTCTTTATGAACTTAACAAAGACCCATACAAGAATCCTTACTTAGATAAACCTAAGGAGGATCACCCCCACGCTCCCGCTCCATATGCGCCTGCTCCCCACCATCCTGCTCCTTATGCCCCCGCTCCCCATGCACCCGCTCCCTATGCACCCGCTCCCTATGCACCCGCTCCCTATGCCCCCGCTCCCTACCATTAAACACAAAGACTTATTTTTTGTTACAAAAGAAGTTTTGATGGTTTAACATTGACTTTTTGTTTTATATTAAAGTTTTATTGTTCATCCATTATTTGTTAATTAGTATTCGAAATAAATGTTTATCTATTAGGAGAGTGTTGAATTATTGACTAACATGGGACGCTTTGCACCAGTCTTCCTGATAAAAACAATAGTTTTTGTAGATTTTCAATTAAAAAAACGGATTTCAGTCTTTGCCACAAATTCAAATCTTATACGTTTATCTTCACAACTTGATAGTTTAAACCTTTTATAATTTAAAATTAAATTTTTTTTATATAGTATAATTCATTGTTTGAAATATAAAAGGTTTACAACATCGGATTGCAAAGATATGATTTAAAAAATTAGAGTGTGTGGCAAAAACTCATTTCATTTTGCGGATTTTTTAATATCAGTAGATGCCCAGCATTTCAGAAAAAATAGAACAGAAACTATAAATAAAAACAGAAAACTAAAAAAATATATTAAGATCGGTATAACTTATATTTATTAAATAAATTTATAAATGTTCCATATTATACATTATAAAATTTAATCATAAGTTGTAAAAAGTATACAAATTTCGGTATTTCGGTGTCCAAAGTTAAATTAAAAACATCTTGATGACTAGCATTTATATTTGGTACAGCTGCATTTGCAATATATTGTGCGTAGTTCCTCATTTTTAAACTTATGCTTCAATATTAAGCCTTTTAGTTAAACTGACATTCCAACTTATTTAGATGACCACTATAGGAAATATTCAAATGTTATATTTTGTATTATGGTGAGCTACTCTAGACAAAACTTGCAGGTACATAGTGAACTTTATGATACTGTCAAAAAGTGTTATTTTACATAATATCCTAATTTTGTTTTCTTGACTGTTCGTTTAGCACTTTATTTATTTCAAACAGGGTCAGAGGTCAAAATGTCGCCTTTGAATGTTTAATTAGTCAGACACTTTTCATTTCACCACCAGCACTAAACCTAAATTCTTCAATTTTGAAGTTTATGCTATGGATATCAAGTAGTTGAGGCTATTTGGTTTTCCAATTTTTAATATCTGTGTTATCAAAGAAAATTAAGTTTAAGAAATAAAAATGGAATTTGTATTTGACTCTTAAACTATTTCATCTATCTAGGAAACTCTATCCAACTTTAATTTGCATTTGACTCTTGATCAGTTTCATCTATCCAGGGAACCCCGCTCTATTCGAATTTAATTTGTATTGGACTCTTGAACTGTTTCATCTATCCAGGGAACCCCACTCTATTCAACTTTAATTTGTATTGGACTCTTGATCAGTTTCATCTATCCAGGGAACTCCGCTCACTCTATCCTCGTCTTTCAGGATGCCTCCTTCACAATCTGAAAGTTAAAAGGGGTTGCTGGAAGAAATTCTATCTTTCAATTGGTTTGTTTCAAATTCAGATTTTATCAAAATATATTGTTGAATATTGTGTAAGAAAAGAGGTAAGGACTAACGATTAGCTAGCGGAACTAGATCTGGTTATTTGAACAACTCCTCAGTGCACTCTTGGCCACACGAAAGCAGCATCCCTACCAAGTTTGACTACTTTGCCCTGACATCAGATTTGAAGTCACTGAGTGCGTTACACATTGATAAATTTACACATAGCTTTTTCTAATGAATATGTCCTACTAGTCCTACTACTTCTTGCTATTTGTTAAATTACAGTTTTAATATTTTACCTGGAAAAGGTCTAGTCAGTAAAATCTCAATTTTATCTCCCGCTGCTGCAATCAGTGGAACCGCTAGGCAGCAATCAAATTCAGTAGTCCTCGTTTGATTCAGCTGCAGGATACGATCAAACGGTTTTATCATCCCCGACACATCAGCTGGTCCTCCTTTCCGTATCCTATTCACAAATATACCCCGTTCGTATAGTCCATCGGATACGGAGAATCCAAAGTCCTCATATATTTGGTCCTTGAATAGGGTAACTCGTGTCACCTCCAGGGGAAGACTACTGCTATCTGAGTTCCGGCATCTTGACTGAGGAAGCAGGGTCACCACTGGCAGTTCACGCTTACCCTTGAAACTCACTTTAGACCTGCAACTGGAGTTTGTGTAAATAATTATACCTTTAAATGTCTATATTCAATATTGTGTTAATGAATATATATGATATAAACAAACAGTAAAAGTGAAACTTTCGATTCTAAATGTAGTGGAAACAAGTCAGCACTGCATGATTAGATCAGGAAGTGATTTTTATCAATTTTTGCTTTAATAAAATGAGATTTCGAGTCACAGGGTGACTATTTAAATTATCAGAGCTGTTTACTTCTTCGCCAAGGAATTAAGTCTGTCCCCCAAAATTTGATTTTCTCGTCCTTATTTCTTTGAATCCTCATGTCCAGGACCTTAGATATTTTTCTAAATATGGATTCTTCTAGATCAAACAATCTAAGTTTGAAATATCAAAGGTTTACACCATCAGTTTGTAAAGTTATAGAGATTTGAAATAACTATAATGCTTTTTTAAAATTTAAGGAGATTTGGAGAGGAAGATGTTTTATATTCTACTGTTACATGTTAATACAGCTTTGATCTGAAACTAGTGCTATTTTAAACCAAAACAACATAATTCAAAAATACTAACTATACCTATAATTTGATGTTGGTGATGGTATAGGGCTATACAGGTGACTTGAGCAAGGATTAACTGGTGCATAGATAGGGGAGGGGCATGGTCTAGGGGGGAGCCTAGAAAAATTGCATTGTTTAGACAATGAAAAGATACAATTAGATAAACGCCATATTGTTTTTTTTTTGTCCTTTTGATCTTAAAATACCTTATTATCTATATAATAAAACAAAATATTTGTATATATTTATGTTGCCTATAGCCGGCCAAACGGCTGGACCGATTGGGTTATATTTTTTTGTGGACACTCATGGGTGGCCGGAGGGTGTTATAGGCTAAAAAAAATCGGAATTTTCTTTTTTTCAACATTTTTTTCAAATTTTTTTTTCCATGGGCAACGCGCCGGGCCCTTCAGCTAGTATGAAATACAATTTACACTAAACATTCAAGACAAAAGATTGAATTTAACCTTCATATCGTTTTTTTTTGTTTGTTTTCTTTTTACGTTGTAAATTAAGTTTTATCCTTTCTGATTTTTATTTTCTTTTATATAAAACTAGGCTTTTAGGGCGCTTCGCGTCCATCTTTTATTTAAATTGTGAACATGTTGTTTTTGTTTACATTCTAAAACAAAGAAGAAAAAATTTTTGCGGATTTAAAAAAAAAAATTCGCGGATTTTCAAGAATTTAAATTTTTTATAAAATAAAAAACCTTTAAAACACATTTTTTAAATTTTTATCATTCATAAACCTACCCTGTGGTCACATGATGTCCCACAAAAAATTTGTGACCGATCGGTTCAGCCGTTTTGACGTTTATTGGATACAAACAAACAGACAGACAAGCCAAATTTATATATAGATGTTGAACACATACCTGAAACTTTTTGAATGGAATTCCCGTTCCGGGATTGAGACCATTCTGGTCAATTTTAGCTTAACAACATTCCCTGAGTTTTGTAATAATGGAACTGCTTCTGACAATTTGAGACCCTAAAATACAGGATGTCCCAAAAAACATGGGAATTCAGTGACGATCTCGATATCGTCTTTGTTATGAATTAGCTTTCTCAGTATGTATAACTATACTAAATCAAAGAATTATTTTAAAAGACGATATCGAATTCGTCACTGAATTCCCATGTTTATTGGGACACCCTGTACAATCAAAATATATTCAATTGTTAAAGAAGTGTCTATAGCAAATCTGTCAAAAGGAACTATTGAATATTGATATAATTTAAAGCCAAAAAGTTTTATGTCCATTGTGATCAGTATCCTTAAATCTTTGTCTAAGCAAAAAGACTGAAGAAATCATTGTTTTTCCGTGTTAAATTGACAGTATTTAATTGTGGTTACTCATTAGGTTTACACTTACAAAGTACTGTTTGTCTTCGTGCATGTAACTCTCTGTCTCAAGAGTCGCATGCATTACATAGATTACGCCGGAAACCAATTAAAAATGTGAATACCTACATTTTTAAAACTTTTCCCCTTATTTTCATCTGTAATCATAAACTTTCAAAAGCCTTGACTTTTCTAAAATCTTTTGTATACGGATTATTCTATCCTTAATCTTTCTACACATTTTTAAAGTTTAAATATTTGTGCAGCAAACAAGATTTCATGTTTATATTCAGTCCTAAAAGGATAAATTTAAGTTTTTATATGATTCTTAAAATCGTAAACTTAACTTTCTACAGTTTTTCATCAATTCTCATGTTCATCTTACACATTTTTTTTAAATGATTCAGGGTTACCCACAAAGTATTAGACTTAAGAGACGACTGTACGGAATTTATACTGTCTGTTTACTAACCTTTATGATTCTCTACAACTATAAACTTGCTTCTTTCTTCACGAAATAAAAAAATAATATTTAAGGCAGAAAATTTAACCTATGAATGGTCCATTTAAAGAGTTTCAGGTCGTCTGTACTTTCTCATTCTTTGTGGGTAGCCCTGTGTAATCAAATAATCCTTTCTTTTTTAAATTAAATTTACCTTAACATTAACACCATTTACTTCTATGAGCTCGTCCCGGATTTGAATTGCTTTGGTTGTTCTAGCCAACCCTCCCTCGGCCATACTGGAGATATAAATTGGGGACTGTTCACCTTTCTTCTAGAAAAATTTAATTAAAGGGACTGTTAAAGGACTTGAATTGCTTTGGTTGTTCTAGCCAACCCTCCCTCGGTCATACTGGAGAAATAAATAAGGAACTGTTAACCGAGGGAGGGATCGCTGCTCTTAGGGTTTTTGTATTTGTCACAGGGTTTTGGAGTGCTCCCAGGGTCTTGGAGTAAAATGTGAAAATTTATCCGGTCATTTATGAAAAGTCCTTTAAAAAGGGAACTTTAAAACCTAAAATTGAAAAAAGGGCTCTCCTACCCCTTTTTAACTGTCTTTGTTCAGATTTTTCCAAATTCAGAAAGTTGCAAAATTCCACTCGTATCGTAAAACATCTATTTAATTCCAAAAAAAATCATTCAAATATTACAACCTAAAATCATCGATAATTTTTCGACGCATTCGTATAGAGTGGGTATTTCATTATTTTTTGTTGCTTTATTTTTTATAAGATGCACTTAAAACGCCGATTAGATGGCCGCCAGGTGTCTCTGCTCTCGATGCTCTGAGTGGGAGAGATACTTAGCGGACAAAAAATCGTTTTAAGTGCATTGTACATAAAACAAATACAAATCCTAAGGGTCCCCCTGTTCTATCTAGTTCTATATATATATATAGTACCTGTTCATCTGTTGCTATAGTGATCCCTAAGGGTCCCCCTGTTCTATCAAGTTCTATATATATATAGTACCTGTTCATCTGTTGCTAAAGTGATCCCTAAGGGTCCCCCTGTTCTATCTAGTTCTCTATAAATATATATATATATATATAATATAGTACCTGTTCATCTGTTGCTAAACTGATCCCTAAGGGTCCCCCTGTTCTATCAAGTTCTATATATATAGTACCTGTTCATCTGTTGCTAAAGTGATCCCTAAGGGTCCCCCTGTTCTATCTAGTTCTATATATATATATGTAACAAATCTAGATGCTAATACTCTAACGATTACTTTACTCAAAGTCTAATGAGATCATATTTAACTAAATCTCTAGCCAAATCTTAAGGCTCTCTATCTCTAGCCAACACTCAAGGCTCTGTATACGTCCGTTCTAATCAACAAATGATATTCAACTAGTTTATTTATAAACAGGTAAAATGAAAAACTGACCGGGCTAGCCCGGCTGGGTCAATATACAAATAATTAAGATAGTAATATTATTAGTACAGATATCAAATTAGAATTGCACATCATTGTAGAATACACTTCATATATAGTACCTGTTCATCTGTTGCTCTAGTGATCCCTAAGGGTCCCCCTGTTCTATCTAGTTCTATATATAGTACCTGTTCATCTGTTGCTATAGTGATCCCTAAGGGTCCCCCTGTTCTATCAAGTTCCATATATATAGTACCTGTTCATCTGTTGCTAACGTAATCCCTAAGGGTCCCCCTGTTCTATCAAGTTCTACGGAAAAAGAAACAAACTTCTTCCGCTCACGTTCCTGCTGATTTCCCTGCATTAAAGAAAAAATTCAAGATTTTCAATGACGAACTTGGACTGTGCATGTATCTAGTAATAATGAAAATTATATTAATAATTATAATAAAAATAATAGTCATAATAATAATAATAATCATTATAACACAAAAATAATGATAATAATTATAATAATAATTATAATGAGAAAAATAATAATAATAGTAATAATAAGCATAGTTAATAAGTTTCATTTCACAACAATTTTTGAATTTTCAGAAATGAGATTTTTTTGGATAAAAGAATCGATATTTCGCTAAAGTTATATGATATATGATATATCTCGAAGTTTGTAAACTCTACCTGATAGTCCAGAATGCTCTTAATGTTTGCATGAGACATTTGTCTGGGTAGCCCATGGTGTTCCTGACTTCTTAAATCTGATCTATGTCGTCTTTGCATAGTAGAGAAACATGGAGAGGGTAGAGAGGCCCGTACACTTCCACCCCTGTACAGTGTACAAAATAAATATACAATCTTTGTAGATATAAATTTAGCTTGTCGGTGTGTTTTTTGTGCCCAGTGTGTGTGTATGTTCATAATCGGAAAGATATTGCTGTTTTTTTAAATCAATTAAATTACACAAAAAATTCGACACATTTTTGTTTTACAATTGCAAAGAAAAATATTGACTTTAAAAGCAATATTTTTACTAAAAGAGGGACGCTTAGCGCCCTGAAAGACACATCAAAAGACATCCCAAAATTAAGCAAGTTTTATATTGGTTTTAGAATTTAAGGCTACAGCCTGTTTTGATACTACTTCAATAGTGTATACCTGAATTTAGCATCAGCTCCAGGTAGAACCTCTAGCTGAAGAACCAGCCCTAAACGTATACCTGGATATAGCTCCAGGTAGAACCTCTAGCTGAAGAACCAGCCCTAAACGTATATCTGGATCTAGCTCCAGGTAGAACCTCTATCTGGAGAATCAGCCCTAAATGTATACCTGAATTTAGCATCAGCTCCAGGTTGAACCTCTAGCTGAAGAACCAGCCCTAAATGTATACCTGAATTTAGCATCAGCTCCAGGTTGAACCTCTAGCTGAAGAACCAGCCCTAAACGTATACCTGAATCTAGCTCCAGGTAGAACCTCTAGCTGGAGAACCAGCCCTAAATGTATACCTGGATCTAGCATGAGCTCCAGGTAGAACCTCTAGCTGGAGAACAAGCCCGGAGTTATCTCTAATCCATTGAGTTACATCATCAACACCCATCCTTGTCAAAGGTTGGCCACAAACTGACAGAAGGATATCTCCAACATGTAAAGCTCCGCATCTTAAAAGATACTGGAGAGTGTAGAACCAATTAAAAATATTTTGTGATAAAGAAACAAGAATAAAAGAATATAAAAGAATATATAATAATAAGAAAAAGTTTTGAGATCATTATTTTGAATTTCGAATTCAAAATTTCTTAATTGAAATTTATAAAGTACTTTACATAAAACGACATTTAAAAACTTATTTTTTTATTTATTTATTACAATATAGAAAGTTTTACATAACAATTGTTGATTTTTTAGATAGCTTAAATAAAGAAGTATAGCATCTTCATGGCTAGGAAACATTTTTAGTTTTTTTTATATAATCTTTCTATGCTATAGCACCTTTCTAAAAACAAAGTCAAGGGTTAAATTTCTTGAAATTTTTCAAATTTTAAATCTAAAGAAACAAGAGAAAGTGAACATCTCCGCAAAAAACATATTTACACTAATCACACATTTATACGGTTAAATAAATTCATATAATTCAAAAATGCGCGGAAAATACTTTTTATTGATAATAATTTACTCTCATAATTGAAAAAAGTAATTTATTAAAATTTGTCAAAACAAAATCTAGATAAAGTTTATGTTATATACCTGTCAGCTAAGCTTGCTTGCTTAATACTCTCAATAATTATTGCCTTTGTGTCCGGGCATCGGCTTAACCCTACTCCCAGCAAATCTTGCTGTTCCCGGGATATCTCCACAAGGATAGCACCTTGCTCCAGATAGCTCTAATAATATAACAAATATATCTCCATCAGGGAATAGGAAAAAAGGGAAAGGAAAAGGCGATGGTCTGGCATGAGCAAGCCAGTCGCACTGCTTAGCAGACGAATTCGGTATTCCATACACACACTCTTTTGGTACAGACACACAACATGACTTCAGTCAGGGAAATTGCAGAACAATGTCGTCGATTATAACTAAGCTTGAATAACGACTAGTTTATTGTAAACTTTAATCAAATTATATTCTTTGCATGAAAATTTGGCTTTTTAGTGTTGACTTAAATATGTAAATAATATATTACATGTATATTAAACTTTTTTTTAAGTAAACAATTAACAATAAACGAATGTACTCTCATAGACTGTACAAACACCGAAATTCTTATGTACTGTATATACCTACAGTACAAGCCTTCGGTTCGGTATTCCTTACACACACTGTTTTGGTACAGACACACACACATGACGTTATCAGGCCCTCTGATCTCCATCTATTCCTGGATACCCTGCTGGGATAATTTTCATTGAGAGATTAACGATTTATTCTCAACTTTAAAGTGCACACATTGGATATTGAGATCAAGTATTCCAGATTAAAGATACTCCACACAAAAGTTCCACACAAATGAAAACTTTTATTTCCTTATCCCTCATTCTGATTTAATAATTCAAAATATGATTTTTAGGTCAATAAGATTTCATCATTTGAAAATCAAATGTCTATTATAACAACATCCTGTTGCAAAAGGATTATATTATGTACATAGGGATTAGAAAATACATAAGGATTATATTAAGTACATAGGGATTAGAAAATACATAGAGATTAGAAAACACAAAAGGATTATATTAAGTACATAGGCATTAGAAAATACATAGGGATTAGAAAATACATAGGGATTATAAAGTACATAGGCATTAGAACAAGGGATTAGGAAAGACATAAGTATTAGAAAATTCATAGAGATTAGAAAATGCATAAGTATAAGAAAATACAAAGGGATTAGAAAATACATAGGGATTAGAAAATACATAGGCATTAGAAAATACATAAGTATTAGAAAATACATAGGGATTAGAAAATACATAAGGATTATAAAGTACGTAGAGATTAGAAATCAAAAAAGGATTATACAGTACATAGGCATTAGAAATACATAGGGATTAGAAAATACATAGAGTCTAGAAAATTCATACAGGTTAGAAAATACATAGGGATTAGAAAACACATAGGATGAAGACCCTGTTACTGCATTTTCTAAATTTTCTAGCACTTTAGATAATATTTATGAAGATAGTTTTCCATTAATAGAGTCAAAACCAAACAAAAATAAAAACCCCATCAACCCTTGGTTTACATCTGCTTTGCTAGTGTCTTAAAAAAAAAAATATACTATTTAAGAAAAAACTGTTAAATCCAAATCCTATAAATATATCTGCTTTCAGAAAATACAACACTGTTTATCGTTCTTTCATATAAAAGGCCAAAGTTAGTTATTTTTACTCAAAGTTTCAAGAATATTCAAAAGATATAAAAAAACCTGGACCTTACTTAATTCTATAATTTCCTTTAAGAAAGAAAGTCATTCAGTTCCTGATATTTTTGCTGATAACAATCAAACTTTTGTAGGATCTAGTGACATTGCAGAAGGTTCTAATGATTTTTTTTGTCAACGTGGGACCTAGACTGTCTAGTTACATTCCGGAATCTAATGCCACTTTTGAAACGTATTTAAATGAGTCCTAAAATGAAAATTTAGTTTTTGCAAATATTACACCGGAAATATTTTTAGAAACAGTAAGTAAGCTAAAACCCAAGAAAAGCTCAGGAAAAGACAATATTTCTACTAAACTACTGAAGGAGATTATTGATTGTATCGATTATCCTATAGCACATTTATTTAATCTTTCTTTCAAAACAGGATACATCCCTAGCGAGTATAAATGTGCAAAAATTATTCCCAAAAAGATAAGTTTAATAATTACAGACCTATAAGTTTTCTTCCGGCTTTGAGTAAGCTACTTGAAAAAATTGCTGCAATACAAATGTTCAGATATCTTAATAAGTTTAACATCTTTTACGAGCACCAATATGGATTTAGACCTAAGCATAACACAAATCAACCACTTTTTCACTTAATGAATAAAATCTATGAAAACCTTAATAAATCTAAACCAGAATTTACTCTTGGAATATTCCTAGACTTGAAGAAAGCTTTTGATTGCTGTGATTTAACATACTTTAAAAAAAAACTAAATCATTATGGTTTCAAAAACGTGGTCAACTCATGGTTTAAAAATTATCTTGTTAATAAAACTCAATATGTATGTATAAATGGAGCTTTTTCAACAGAAAGAATTATAACATGTGGTGTTCCTCAAGGAAGTGTTCTGCTGTTTCTGCTTTATATAAACGATTTGCCCCTAGCAACATCTTTTTTTATCAGCCTCTTTGCAGATGATACTAGTTTTTTAAAGTCATCTCCTGACATTGCAACCCTAATACTTGATGCAAACACTGAACTGAAGAAAAACAGCAAAATGGTTTCAAGCAAATCGTTTGTCACTAAATGTCTCCAAAACAAAGTATATAGTATTTAGAAATAGAAATATGCACTTTGATCCCAACAGTTGTAATATATCAATAGAAAATGAGATACTTTAAAGGATTGGTAATGACTGTGTGAACAAATATTTCAAATTTGTTAGACTTAAACTGGACGAATTTTTAAACTGGGATTTTCAAATTGAAAATACATAGGGATTATAAAATACATAGGGATTAGAAAACACATAGGGATTAGAAAATACATAGGGATTAGAAAATACATAGGGATTTGAAAACACATAAGTATTAGAAAATACATAGGGATTTGAAAACACATAAGTATTAGAAAATACATAAGTATTAGAAAATACATAAGGATTATAAAGTACATAGGCATTAGAAAATACATAGGGATTTGAAAACACATAAGTATTAGAAAATACATAAAACCACGGTAATGTTTTAAGCTTGGATTAACATTTATAAATTGATTAGGTTGGCTTTTTTAAGGCAAAGCTGGGTTACTAAGTTAGTTTTTTTTTTTAATTCCGAACCTGTTTTCTAAATTCCGAACCTGTTTTCTAAATTCCGAACCTGTTTTCTAAATTCCGAACCTGTTTTGCGACATCGTATTCTAGAGTAAAGACGGTTTCCCCCTCCTCCTGGTACATTAAACTCTGTAGTTCTGCCAGCTTTACGCCAACCAAACTCTTTCCATTGAGAGCTAGTATCCGGTCCCCGGGTCGTATTGTCCCCTCAGCCTGAGCAGGTCCACACTGCAAACAAGTCCATTTTTAAAGTTTTCTCCGTAAATTGCTTTACATCGAGTAAATATCTTTAGATCATGCTTTGCCAGGTAAAAACTATTCAAAAACAGAAAAGATTCTGAATATGATGGTTAGTGGAGAGAATACATTTTTATATTTAAACCAAAACATTAAGTCGGGTCAGAAGCATTTGGAAATATAATTTTATTCTAGTCTTCCATTATTTTCATTCAGTTTACAAGCAAACATGCTGAACAACCCCAAGAGGGGAGAAATGTGTGGGGTTGCAATGATACTTATTTATATCCTTAAATCTGCACTGTGAAAAGGTTTTCTGTATATGTATAAAAATGTTAGGTTAATCTGTATCAGAAATGTTCATTATGTCCTTACAATAAGACAGACCATGGAGCAATATTCCCGACAATAGAAATAGGAGTACTAAATGAACCTTGAGTATTATAACTAATTCAAATTTTTTTCAGAATGTCTGAAAGAACAAACTAGCTTTGGTGATTAAATTAGATCATAAAACAAGAAAGTTTGAAATTTATTAATAGCGATAACGTGAGGAAATAGTAGAACTGGCTGACGGTTAATTAAACTAGTTGTCTCCAAATAGATTATCAAGTACAATAGAGAAATAGACCAATTATACACGACGTCACAAGTGTTAAATATATCAAGAAAAACTAATTTTCTGACATTAGTTGACATGTTTTCCAAGATTAAATAAAAAAAGTTTAAAAACAGAAAATAAAGAACACATAAAATTACACTTATTTTACTGTAAGATAAGCACTTTATTCTAAAATTATCACTATTATTAATAATTTTGTTGGACACAAAAACTAAGTTGACACTGGTGACGTCAGAATACAGTTGTACTGAGAGTGTACAAATTGTAAGAAGCCATCTATTGTACTAGAATATATTTGGTTGTCTCTCGTTAATAATTTTTGGGCACATTTTAAAGAAAAGTTTTGCTTTTAAATTTATTCATTTCGTGAAAATTATGTTTGTTTCCAGCTTAGGTTTTGCAATGAAAATAAGATTTTTTTGAAGAAATAATTAACATTTTGCTATTAGTTTGCCAGTTTAGTTGAATAAATCGTGTGTTAACTATTTCTTAAATAATGTTCTAGTTTTTTTAAACTCTTTTTGCTGTCAACTTTTCCTTAATTATTTCAATGAATCGGTAAGGAGTCCCCTTCTCCAATGGCACTACCTGATCTACAAATACAACTGTGAAGGGACGACATCTTGCTGAAATCTCGTGAGCGCCTCCACGAACAACAAATCCAAAACTTCCATTCTCTTTACGTAATGTTATCTAAACATTAACACTTTACAAATGGTTTCAAAATGTAAAAAATTACTAAACAAATCTTACAGCATTAAAATAGTTTTATATTTAAACATTTAAAATCATATCTAAATATTAAAAATAAATAATTCCATAAGAAACGTAATCAAAACTTTTAAAATGTTACCTAAAAATTAAAAAGGTATTTGAATATTGAAAATGTGATTGCTTTTTTAAAATGTTTCAAATACCGATATTTAATAATCAACAGGAAACATATACGAAAAAATTGTAGATTTAAAACTTTATAGGCTCACAGCAGTCCTATACCAGCCAAGGGGGGGGGGGTGCAATGGGTCAGGTGCACCCCCTTACTCCTAAAATGGATGGTGCAACGACAAATTTGCCCCCCACCCCCCTTTTAATTGAGTTTCTTGGTATAATCTTCTCTTGAAAAATTGACAAATTACTATTTAAAGTTTTAAAAAATTGTTATCATTCGGTATACCATGTATAGTGTATGTATATAGCGTCAGAACAAATTGTTAATTAAAGCTGTTCCCTTTCTAGACCAACCAAATTTAACCTTTTTAAAAAAAAATTGTCCCGAGGTAAGATTTTTCTTTCGCATATGTCGCTATACATACATATATACAATGTAAAAAATATGTTCCAGTGTGTATCAACAGTTAATTTTTTTAATTTTGCAAAAACATTACCTTCAATGTATTGTCCAGACAATTAAAAATTAGTGAACGTGAGTAGAAATATCAAAATTATCAATATTTTCATTTAACAAATATTGTAAAATTTTAGTTCAAAACTAAATTATAAATATTTTTACCATACAAAACATCAAATTCAGGGGAAAATCAAATTTTCACTGTCACATTAATTTCAAGGTAAATTACTAATGTTGTTGAAAAATTTGAAAATAATCTACATAGCATAAAAGTTAAGCTAAAATTACCAATTTCATACCAAAATTACAAAAAAATTTTTATGCAGGGGCTCTTCCCCCTTCAACCCCCGCCTCCTTTACTACGTTTCACCCACACACAACACCTCTCTTTGCTCCCCCCCTTTGTAAAATTCTGGCTAACCAGCTACCCAGAACTTCGGAGGGATAGGAAAAATAAAAAAGTCTTTTTTAGAATTTTTCATTGGGGTTTGCATACCATTAAACCTAAATTTCAGCAATAGTAAAAATTAATAAATAGCCATAAAATATGCGGGAACAGTTTTAAAGAGTTCTTTATTTATTAATTTTAATAAACTAAATATCCATTATCAGTAGGTTTAGAAGACGACATATCCGAAGTTCTGGGTTAGACTGTTTGTAAATCAGTAATTTAAAACATACCAAGCAAAGTTAAACGGACTTTATCAGCTAATGTTAAAAATGCATCAAAACTGGTTTTATTTTTTAAAAATGCACTAAACAAATCTAGAAAATTCAAAAATAATATTTATGAAATCCACAAGAAATCCACAAACCTGGATGACCCTTGGTCGTGTTCTCGAAGAAGGACAAAGAGGTGGAAGCCTGTATTTTACTTCAAGCTGAACCTTATCAGCTGTGTCAAGCATTTCAACTAAACATGGAGAAAGGATATGAATGGAAGGTTTACCACAAACATGACGTTTGGAGGACGACTTAAATGTCGTCTTTGATCTTTGAAATTATCTTAGTCGTGGCATTTACAAAATGTGGTCTGCCTTTCTTGTGCTTTTAATATTACCAGATATATTAAGAATTTCCTTCAAACTTTAATTCATGAAAAAACAAAATTTTGAAATCTGGTAATTACCAGAGAAAATGTGATTTTAAATTTAAGAATTTTACTTCTAAAATTAGGTTAACAAATGAATGCATTTTTCCCTTTCTACCAATTCTGGATTTACAGTCAAATTGAAAATGAAAAACAAGTATATTTCAAGAATTGTTTAAAGGTTTTAAATAAACTGATGGAATATTTACATCGGCAGTCTCTGATACTATTATTTACCAATTTGATGCTGCATCATGTTAGAGCACTCTTTCCCGTTTAGATTGAGCATAATATCTCCAGCACAAAGTACATTACTTCTCTGAGCCCAGGAACCAGGAACTAAATCTGCTATCCTGGGTTTCAGTCCTGTATCCTTTCCACCAGTCACTAGAACATACATATATAGATATATAAGCCAGGAACTGGATCTGCTATCCTTTGTTTCAGTCCTGTATCCTTCCCACCAGTCACAAGAACATACATATAGATATATAAACCAGGAACTGGATATGCTATCCTGGGTTTCAGTCCTGTATCCTCCCCACTAGTCACTTGAACATATATATATAGATATATAAACCAGGAACTGGATATGCTATCCTGGGTTTCAGTCCTGTATCCTCCCCACCAGTCACTTGAACATATATATATAGATATATAAACCAGGAACTGGAGCTGCTATCCTTGGTTTCAGTCCTGTATCCTTCCCATCTGTCAATAGAACATATATATATAGATATATAAACCAGGAACTGGATCTGCTATCATTGGTTTCAGTCCTGTATCCTTCCCATCAGTCACTAGAACATATATATAGATATATAAGCCAGGAACTGGATATGCTATCCTGGGTTTCAGTCCTGTATCCTTCCCACCAGTCACTAGAACATATATATAGATATATAAACCAGGAACTGGATATGCTATCCTGGGTTTCAGTCCTGTATCCTTCCCACCAGTCACTAGAACATATATATAGATATATAAACCAGGAACTGGATAAGCTATCCTGGGTTTCAGTCCTGTATACTTCCCACCAGTCACTAGAACATATATATAGATATATAAGCCAGGAACTGGATATGCTATCCTGGGTTTCACTCCTGTATCCATCCCACCAGTCAATAGATACATACATACATACATAGATACATTTGAAAGGGGGAATAGGCTTAAACCTGAAAATCTCAGGAGTTGATTGAGACCTGTTACAGAGTTCTATCTGATTTTCCTGTCTCGAGAAAATGATATTAAACTGTGTCAAAATTATACAAAAACGCATATATGTAAAATTTTGTATAAGAGTTAAACAGATCATATTCAACAAATACGCAACCAATCTGGTAACGACGATAACCCGGAGGAGCCTGAAAATCTTAGGTTTGCTTCTATTATTTTTTAAATTTAATAATTTCCCCTTTTTAATAGATATGATTAAAAATATTATATATACGTTCGGACACATGACTAGAACCCCAACCAATAGCAATAAAGTATTATTGTCACATGTCTCTGTCTGTATCACATGACCAGTATACTGCACTACCATTGGAGGGATTCTGTTTATTTTGTCAATTTCTCGAGACAGGAACATCAGATAGATGTCATATAGGTATCGTTCAACTCCTGGGATCTCAGGTTTCAGCCAATATCCCATTTCATTTTTCCTTTACAGTCCCTTTAAACAACAATTATTTGCCTACCAATGACTCCAAGATGTGTTCCAGCTCGCTTAATGAGCTCCACAAAAGTAATTCCAAATGCATCTTCTGATAAACTCGAATTTGAACCTTTCAAAGAGGAACTTCGCCTTCGTGTGGGAACACTGAACATCAAAAACAGTTAAGAAATAATTAAATATTGAAAAGTAAAATTTATCTTAAAAAAGTGATCAGTGATTAATTTTTGTTTGAAATTTTAAAATACCTATCTAAATTAATTTGATCTCGTTGAAAAGCCAAAATATAAAATACACTAAATTAACCTTTTTTAAATCTATATTGTATGTATTTTATAAATAGTAAAGAAACTTATTTCTTCCTAAAAATCTAATCTTCCAATTGCAACTTTGATGTTGACTTATACTTGTTCTGAGCTGAAAACTTTCGAATTTTGGAAATCGAGATCAATGCTTCTTAAACTCCATTTTTTTGTTCTTAAAATTAACATAAGATTCTCTTTCGAATGGTATATACTTTGGAGAAAAAAACTCAGCGGGAGCGGTTGAATGAGAGGTTGAGATCTAGCCTTGACTCTACGCAGTTCAGAATAAGAAATGCGCCTTTTTCTCAAACTTAAAATTTGTTCAATCAATAAATTCGTGCTTTTTTGCTTTCATATTTTTATTCACTTTTTAAAACTTTTTTAGTAGTTAAACACAATTTTTTGCTTTTAACCGCTGGGTTAAAGATTTTTCAGCAACTTTTTTCCTTTTAACTACTTGCACTGGGTTGCTTTTAACCACCATGGAAAATAATTTTTTCATGAAAGATGACTTCTTTCCACCACAGGTTTTAAGATTTTTTCGGCAACTTTTTTGCTTTCAACCGCTAGGTTCAGGATTTTTCAGCAACTTTTTTGCTTTAAACCTCTGGGATGCTTTTATACGCTGAAACAGTTTTTATTAAAAATAGTTTTCTTTTAAAAACCGGTGCTAAGATTTTTCAGTACCTTTTTTCTTTCAACCGCTGGTTTTAAGATTTTCAGCAACTTGTTTGCTTTCGCCCGCTGGGTTTAAGATTTTTCCGCAACTTTTTTGCTTTCAACCGCTGGGTTGCTTTCACCACTGGAAAACAGTTTTTTATAAAAAATGTTTTCTTTTCACAACTGGTTTTAAGATTTTTCAGCAACTTTTTGCTTTCAACAAAAGTTGCTGAAAATTCTTAAAATCAGCGGTTGAAAGTTAAAAAGTAGCTGAAAAATCTTTAAACAAGCGGTTGTAAGCAAAAAGTTGCTGAAAAATCTTTAAACCAGCGGTTGAAATCAAAAAAGTTGCTGAAAAATCTGATAACAGTTGAAAGCAAGAAAACTGCTGAAAATTTTAAAAACAGCGGTTGAAAGTAAAAAAGTTCTGCAAAATCTGAAAACCGGTGGTTACAAGCATAAAAATTTGCCGAAAAATCTGAAAACCAGCGGTGGAAATCAAAACAGTTGCTGAAAAATCTGAAAACAGTTGAAAGCAAAAAAGTTGCTGAAAAATCTGAAAACCAGCGGTTGAAAGCAAAAAAAATGCTAAAAAATCTGAAAACGTTATTCATGAAAAATTATATTTCATTTGTTGAAAAAGTGGGATTTAGCGGTTGAACAAATTGTAAATTTCTTCTTAATTTCTTATGCTGAACTGTGTAGAGTCTAGGCTAGATCTCAACCGCTCGTTCAACCGCTCCCGCTAGGTTTTTTTTATCAAAAGTATATAGCATTCGATTATTTCAAGGTTTAGTTTTATCCCGGAAAATTTCTCAAATTTAACCAATCAGAGTGGTGCATGCCAAAAGGCGGGAAATTTTAAATTAGAGAACTCTCATTAAATAGAATCCAGAGTAGGGGAATCCAGAGTAGGGGAATCCAGAGTAGGGGAATCCAGAGTAGGGGAATCCAGAGTAGGGGAATCCAGAGTAGGGGAACCCAGAGTAGGGGAATCCAGAGAAGGGGAATCCAGAGTAGGGGAATCCAGAGTAGGGGGATCCAGAGTAGGGGAATCCAGAGTAGGGCAATCCAGAGTAGGGCAATCCAGAGTGGGTTCTAAAGAGAATTTGAAATATCTATCAAATATTTTTCTACAAACCTTGAAGATTCCGGCCTGTTACAACTTCCACTTCTTCTATCACGTCTTTCTAAAGTATATAATTTAGTTGTTGGTATTAAAGATACTTTAAGCATAATTTCAAGTGACCCTCCATGCAAAGAGTTGAAGTAGCGTCGTTTTCAGTATTCAGTATTCAGTATTCAATATTCAGTATTTAGTATTCAGTATTCAATATACAGTATTCAGTATTCAATATTCAATATTCAGTATTCATATTATATCTAGATACAGTCCCTTTAATATATAGCTACAGTCCCTTTAATTATATCTAGCTACACTACAGTCCCTGTAATTAAGTCTAGCTACAGTCCCTTTAATTATATCTAGCTACAGTCCCTTTAATTATATCTAACTACAGTCCCTTTAATTATATCTAACTACAGTCCCCTTAATGTTATCTAACTACAGTCCCTTTAATTATATCTAACTAGAGTCCCTTTAATTATATCTAGCTACAGTCCCTTTAATTATACCTAGCTACAGTTCCTTTAATTATAAATAACTACAGTCCCTTTAATTATATCTAGCTACAGTCCCTTTAATCAAATCTAACTACAGTCCCTTTAATTATATCCAGCTACAGTCCCTTTATTTATATCTAGCTACAGTCCCTTTAATTATATCTAGCTACAGTCCCTTTAACTATATCTAGCTACAGTCCCTTTAGTTATATCTAACTACAGCCCCTTTAATTATATCTAGCTTCAGTCCCTTTAATTATATCTAGTTACAGTACAGTCCCTTTAATTATATCTAGCTAAAGTCCCTTTAATTATATTTAGCTACAGTCCCTTTAATTATATCTAGCTACAGTACAGTCCCTTTAATTATATCTAGCTACAGTCCCTTTAATAATATCTAGCTACAGTCCCAATAATTATATCTAGCTACACTACAGTCCCTTTAATTATATCTATCTACACTACAGTCCCTTTAATTATATCTAACTACAGTCCCTTTAATTATATCTAGCTGCAGTCCATTTCATTATATCTAGCTACAGTCCCTTTAATTATATCTAGCTACAGTCCCTTTAATTATACCTAGCTACAGTTCCTTTAATTATAACTAACTACAGTCCCTTTCATTATATCTAGCTACAGTACCTTTAATTATATCTAACTACAGTCCCCTTAATGTTATCTAACTACAGTCCCCTTAATTATATCTAGATACAGTCCCTTTAATATATAGCTAAAGTCCCTTTAATTATATCTAGCTACACTACAGTCCCTGTAATTAAGTCTAGCTACAGTACCTTTAATTATATCTAGCTACAGTACAGTCCCTTTAATTATATCTTGCTACAATCCCTTTAATTAAATCTAGCTACACTCCCTTTAATTATATCTAACTACAGTCCCTTTAATTTTTTTCTTAAGCAAACTATATTTACCAATAGTATTTGTGGAGCCTGTGCCCGGTATAAAATTTCTCCAAAACTTCATGTTTTTGTGTTTTTAAACTGTTTTGAAACTTTGAAACTAGGTCGATTAGATGTTATCACTAGTGAGAATATTTTTCCCCTTTCTCACAGTATTTCAGCTGTATCACTATATTTCCTAGATTCTGTATTTTCATCCAATTTATAGACTTTTCCGACATTTTACAAATCTTTCGCCTAATTCATGGACATACATAAACAATGGTTTAAGCCACCATGTTATTTGCTTTGTTACACAAAACTAATTATTTTGAATAAATTAGTTGTTAACGTTGATATGTTGATATTAATGTATCAAATCGAAAAATTATTCACTTTTCCTCAATGGATGTTGCTAACTTTATGAATTATTACTAAAGGAAGTAATAGTTATGTATATTCCCCGTACACCAGTTCTGAATATACTAGATATAAATAGATTTGACTCTAGCTAGGCGGTCAGACTGGGACACCTGGATATACACACATACATAGCAGAGAGAGAGAGAGAGAGAGAGAGAGATTAGACACCATGTATGACGAACATAGGAATTGGACGAATTGATTATACCAATTATTTCATTCTTTTTTTAATAGATATTTTATTCATTTCCAATTTTTTTATTGTAAATTTCAAAAAGGAAAATTGGAAAAACCCACCTGTAAGCGGTGTGAGATTAAAATCAAAATAATCAAAAAAAAAACTTTTTTCGGTCGTAAAAGATTTTTAAGAAAGTATCATTAAAAAAATTGTATGACTAATATAAAAGTTTTCTTTCAGAAAATACCTGGTTTTTCTAGTATTAAGTGCGTATTTTGGCGTTAAAGATTGGAGATAATCTATAAATATGATATGCGACACTAGGTTTGACTAGTTTGTATAGTAAGTGAAGTTTATTTCTTTTTAGATCGATATTTTAGCATGTTTAAAGCATATTTTTATCTACATTCAATTTAGCTTTTTGCAACACTCCACCCAGTATATAAATGATTATCAAAATATGTTTTTTATGCAAACAGAAAAAAAATATTATGTAATTTTCTGCCATTTTCCACATGTAAATGTAAGCCATTTTTTTATGTCCCCGCAACTTTTTATCAAAGGAACTGTAGTGTTGAAAAGTGTAGAATTTTAGATAATTTGCTTTCATGTTTCTGCTGTATAACTTCATACATCTGCAATATACCTTTTATCAAAAATACAATTTACTGATTTAGTTTTTAAGGATGCCACAAAATAATAGGTCTGAATAAATTGAGATTAATGGTTAATCCTGAGATTCACAACACTAGCATTCTGATCTACAGTAGTAGGCGATTATATCAGTAAAATGAAGACGACCTTTTAAGTTTGAAAGAACAAGATATTTTCGTAATAAAAGTTTACAAGTAATCAAAGAGAAGTTTTTTTTAATTGACATCATCTTTTGACTTCTATGTTTATGTGTATCCATGCTGTTTAACATCTTAATATAAATCAAAATTCAAATCGTAAGTAGTTTTCAACGTATTGCTATAATAATCGCTATTTCAGTTCATATTTTGAACTTCAACACTGCAAACTAACCAGGAGGAGAAGGTCAATTTCAATTGACATTACTGTCACAGCTTTGTGACTCCGTTGCTCCTCTCGTTCTGATTTTAGTGTAACAAGAGCTACTTTATACGGTTACATAATACATATAATATCAATTCAAAACATTTTTCTTCTTTTCAATATCTCTTCAATAAGAGAAGTTATGATCAAAAAATATAAGTTGTCAATCTTACTTGCATTTTCCTTTAGTTTGACGTGTCAAGCTATACTAAATTTGCTTTATTATGACATCAATAACGCACAAGATTGCGTAAATGTTGTCCTTCCATTTTAAAGTGTTACGGGACCATATGTGGACAAAAAAGGCCAATTAAAGTTAAGTAACTATTTTTTAAATTATTATAAGCCTTTAAATGTTCATTTCTTACTATACATAAAAAGTTTACATACAAGTGTGATTAAACTAAGCATGATTATTTTTAAAATTTAAATTCAAAATGTGTAATCTATAATCTAAATTCAGTTTAAGACCGACATGTAGTTTTGATAATTAAATTATCAGTTGAACACATTAGTTGTGTTATGAAATGATCTTGATCAATTAGTCTTTGTAATAATGATCTTGATCAATTAGGCTTTATAATAATGATCTTGATCAATTAGCTACTTCCATTATTCTTCTAGTGCTGTTGTACAGGTTTGTTGAAATACCAAATTTAAGAATGACTCCGGTAAACAGCCCTATTCTGTTAGCAACCTCCTCCAAGGCATGAAAGGAGAAGTTATCTTGGTTCCACTGATTCCCCTGCAGGATAGGCCAACTCCCAAGCTCATTTATTATTCTCAGCAGTTCCTGTCTTCCTGTCTCCTCAATATTATCCTAGAAAAGAAAAGAAATTTGAAATTAAGTTTTATTAATGTACAACTTCAGATTGGACAGCAAAAACACAGCAATTGTGCAGTGTCATTTAAAACAAAAATTTCTCGTAATGTCACAAAAATTTCTGGAATCATACGCCCTGTATCATCCCATTAATCCAGAAAAGGATTTAAAAGCTTACGGGTTATGGAAATCATTATGGAATTCTGGGATTTCCAGGGTTTTAGTGGTGACCCTAATTTTGTCAAGAAATATGATTTTATCTAATGGCTCAGCCTGGCAAACACAAGCAAATGCTATTAAAATTTTTAATTTAAATGAATAGTAATTTGATGAGACTGTTCATTTTGGTTTTAAACGAAAGGAATAAATCTTGAATGTACCCAGCCCTATACTTTATTTATCTGAACACTTATCAATATTTTTCTGTTTTTTATACCTCATCCATACAAGCTGAAAAGTACTTTCGCACAGACTTGTATACTTCCGGTTCATCAGGTTTAGGACTTGATTCAAACAGTTTCCTAAATATCAGGTTTAGGACTTGATTCAAACAGTTTCCTAAATATCAGGTTTAGGACTTAATTCAAACAGTTTCCTAAATATCAGGTTTAGGATTTAATTCAAACAATTTCCTAAATATCAGGTTAAAACTTAGTTTTAATAAACCCTCCATTTAAAGATTATGGCGCAACTCCCAAGTCTTTTTTTTTCAGGGAAACTAAATTTGAAAACAATAAATTATAATTAGGAATGAGAATGTATCCTCAATCAGACAAAGGCTTGACGGTTATCGTTGTAAACGGGACATGCCACTGAAAAAATAACTTTAAAATATAATAAATAAGTAAATTTTTTTTGTCTTGAAATGTTGGCGTTTAAATGTCGTATTAGTGCTGAACTGCAAATGGCTAAGTATTGAACGTAAATATTAACAAAACTCAGTGTTAACATGAGTATGTTTTTTTTCCTCCCGGAAATGATTTGGATAAGTTTTGTAAACAAAGATACAGGGTTACCCACAAAGGATGAGACCGTAAAGAAAGAAATTTGTTTTTGTTGCAGAGAATCATAAATATAAGGAAGCATACAGTATAAATTCCGTACAGTCGTCTCTGAACTCACATCCTTTGTATTTGTAGTCCATGGGACCGATTTTATGAATTGGAGAGTTCAACTGAACTATTTACCTCAATCTTTAGAATCACAACATCAAATCTACAGCTTAAATGGTGATTTAGGATTTGAACCAGTTGAAGGTAGTTCAAAGACCAAGCTCAAATGCATTAAATTCGGTCCCTTTGTTAACTTTTTTCTTTCTTGTAAAGAAAATATGCTGACCTTAGTCGCATGTTTAGTTTCTCTCCAAGTATGGTAAATAATCCTAAAATGTTAGAGAAATGTAAATTTGCACGCATTTGCACGGGGTGTTCCAATAAACATAGGAATTGAGGGATAACTTGAAAGTCGTCTTTATGTCTGATATTTAATGCATGTCAAAGAAAATAAAAAATCGAGACTGTATGTCTCACTAGTTTTCTTGTACAGGGTGTCCCAAAAAGCAGGTCCACTGAGGCAGCGTTGAATTACAAGACTGTGATAGCATATGCGTAACTCCTTTGGGCCTCTGCCTCAGGATTAATATTGTAAACAATATAAAAACCCCTACCCAGCAGAAATAGATAGTGAATGGTAGGGGCAGATACAGGATTTAAGTGAGGGAGGTGCTACATATATTTCGGAACAAAAAAAATCCAAATTAAGAAACCAAAATACGCGGCACAGGTGAATTTTTTTTAAGATAGAAATTTTTTTCTGTTTTTCACTTGGGTTTCTTTCCCTCAGTTGCTATTGAGAAGATATTCTGAAATCTCAGGGGCGTACGCCCCCCCCCCCCCCTGAATCCATCAGGCTGGTGCAAAGGTCTTTTTTCTTCTATTTAATGACACTGCATGCAATCTGTGAGTGGTCCAACAATTCAAAAATCGTTCCTGCTATTATTTGTAACTTTTTTTTGTGTAAAGATTAAAAATGTAAGGAAGGCAATTGTTAAAATTAGTAAATTTTGTAAAAAAAGTTTAAGTTTTCTGCAAAATTACAGTAAGACCCATAACACAGTGAAATATGATGACGTTTGTTACACTAAAAGTTTGATTTAATTAGTCCACTGAACATTAAACACAGAGTGCAAAGTACACAGATCCTTTTATTTAATAAGTTGATTTGAAGCTACCAAGAATAAAATCATATACACATGATGCCTTAATATTCTATTCCACAGTTTTTTAGAAATTACTGTATTTAATATTATCTGGACAGCTTATTGCGTACATAAACTACCCCTGAGCTCAAAACATAAGACAGGGTAGCGTCATGAAAACCAGTATCGAAAACCCTGTTTTATGAATGGTGTAAAGACATTTTGTAGATATTAATACATTTTTTAAGACATATTATTTCATATGGCTTGTTCTTTGTTCTCTCTTTATTATCTACTTCTTGGTGTTAATCTACGCAAATGTAGAATCTCGGGAGTTCTGTTAAAAATACTCTCTGAAATTTCCAAGTCTGCATGCCCTCGTTTTTAAAGAGGTTTAAGTGTTCCAGCAGAGAAAGGGTTAAAAGGAATAAAATCAGTTTGTTTACCATTTCAGGATTAATCATCTCTAGAAAAGTAGCAGCTGTCTTCACACATCCTGGTGTTAGGCAAACTCCTTTCGACTAGACAAGAGACATATAATGAAAATGATTATGATAATATTGAGCAGTGTCAAATGCCTTGGCAAAGTCAATTGTCAAGAGTTCTATTGCTTTATTTTCATCCTTACATTTTGCTATTACATTTATAATATTAAAAACTGCCTCCTGAATCACTTTAGTAGACGAGTAAGCTTTTTGCGTTGACAAAGTACATCTATCCAAATTTTTCTTTAATCTATAGACTATTTGAGTATGCCTTGGAGTATACTTAATACACATTGCTAAGTAATCTAATTGGACACCAGTTATTAATTTTTTCTTCGCAAGAT